TGGTTGTATCAGATTTACAACACGGTCGTCACCATTGAGACAACCCAACACTAGCAAAGGTCTCAGTTTTAGTGTCGCATCATAGACCTTCACTAGGTTTTGAAGCAATCAAAGACGGATAACAGAACTCGCTTATGCAACAGATGGCTTGCTTTCCATGTGGGATGGATAATTATTCAAAATGTTCTGTGTTGCAGTAAATTGCGCATGCTTAATAGGGACTAAACTCAGCAGTTACCTTATTTGTCATTTTTCGTCATTTATCTCACTGTAATTCATGTTAATTTGTGTTGGAGTTTTATAAGTCGTTTACAACATTCGCGTCCGTGTTGTATGGGAATTACAATCTCTCGCCTGCGGCTCGAGATTGTAATTCCCATACAACACGGCCGCTCATGTTGTAAACTATACTTATAAAACTTATTAATAATGCATAAGCTATTGCTCCAATAAGGGCTGACCATTTAATCAGGTGATTGACCTTGTAAATCTGATACAACCACTAGTGGTTGTATCAGATTTACAACACGGTCGTCACCATTGAGACAACCCAACACTAGCAAAGGTCTCAGTTTTAGTGTCGCATCATAGACCTTCACTAGGTTTTGAAGCAATCAAAGACGGATAACAGAACTCGCTTATGCAACAGATGGCTTGCTTTCCATGTGGGATGGATAATTATTCAAAATGTTCTGTGTTGCAGTAAATTGCGCATGCTTAATAGGGACTAAACTCAGCAGTTACCTTATTTGTCATTTTTCGTCATTTATCTCACTGTAATTCATGTTAATTTGTGTTGGAGTTTTATAAGTCGTTTACAACATTCGCGTCCGTGTTGTATGGGAATTACAATCTCTCGCCTGCGGCTCGAGATTGTAATTCCCATACAACACGGCCGCTCATGTTGTAAACTATACTTANTATTACACCCGATTTCAAATGAGTGCGAACTCTCGAATTTTTTTCGGATGCTAAACTTTCACTCGACCGTCATTCACTCGACCACTTGGTAACCTGGCACAGCTTGAAGCGGGTAAAATTATCCAAGTATAAAAACCACGGTTAATGTATGTCTTTGGGCTACATTCCTACGGTTTGTGATCGCACTACAAAACGAACTTATTGTAAAAACTAGTTTCGGTTTACTTAACTTTCTCAGCTAACAATTACAACGAAACAGTTGGAAAATAAACAGTAGTGTGACAAACACTGACAAACGCGGGCACTTTAAATCGCTTTTAGTGTTCGTAGGCTGTTCTTTGTTGATTTTACTAGTTTACTGATTAAAATGAAGAGGTTATCGGACGATATTCGGTGGAAGGCTATTTACCATGAACTTATTTACGGTTCAAGCATTAAGGAAACTTGTAGAGCGTTATTTGTAGGGAAAACKTTTGTTTGTAAAATTCGACAACTTTATAAACTTACAGGGAAAGTTGCTGTACATACACATGTAAGTGTCATTGTAAACTTGTATTCAATCAATCAGGGTTTTTACAGTAATACGAATAAGAATATATTTACTTCTTCGAAAGAAGGTTACATTTAAACATAAGCTACTTCGTTTTCAACCGAAATTTAAAACATAAGCTACTTCGTTTTCAACCTTTAATTTAAACAACAATGTTGCAATTATGTTTTCGCTTGCTTGATATTTTTTTTATTGT